GGGGGGGGCAGGGGGAGCTGGGAGCTTGGACGCTGTCCTCCGCCCCCCCGGGGCTGGTGCGGATTTGGACGGAACGCGGGGGGGGGTGGGCTTCAGCGCCTTTTCTGAGGAAGCAGATTCGGTAGGCAGGCGGAACCTGGGCTGGGCACCTCTGTCCCGCGCGGCGGGTGCCAGGGAGAGGCAGCCTGCTCTTCCGTTGTGGAAGAGGGGCTTTGGAGCCCGTGTCCTGAGGAGGACGCAAGCTCTTTCCCTGCTAGGTGGCTGGAAGCGAGCCGGCTGCATCTCGTTTCCTTGGAACGCAGGCGCAAGGCTGCAGGTGTGTCCCCACTGGTGGTCGTGGGTGCGGATCTGCTGCCGCTGCCGCGGCGTCACCTGCTCGTCCGCACTGGCTGAGCGCTGCGCGGGGGAGCTGTTGGGGGCCACCTGGGTGGCAGGGGAGGCCATGCACGGGAACAGCTTGTCCTGCTGCTGCCTGCGACGGGCAACCTGCATATTTGGGCCTTGCTGGTTTTGGGCCCAAGTGCCGGGAGGCGGTGAAGACCAGGACTGATGAAAGCTGCGCAAGGGGCTTTGCGGCCAAGGTGGGAGTTTTTCTGATCGGCTGTTTGGAGGTGGCTGCCCGGGTGTGGATGTCCTCTGCAAAAATGGGCAGAATTGAGTAAATTGGAGACCTGCTGATAAGCAGAGATGTCCTCTTCAGCTGGGTTTCCCCTTCCCTCTCCCCCCTCCTTTTATGCCCAGGAAATTAATAAAAGTTGTTTCAGTTCACGGTTTTATTCAGTTGCTCTTTGCTCAAGCATCGCAGTGAACAGCTGGTCTATATGCCTCTTTGGGTGCAGGTTCATGTCTGGGGGGAGGACTTGGCCAAGGGTTGCCCTCCCCAGCCGGAGCAATAGGCCTTCCCAGCCCCCCAAACAAAATGCATCCAAAGCTGCCTTTATCCCTGGATGAGAAAGCCCCCCCTTTTAACGTGGGGGCCAATTCCATTACCAATGTCTTCCAAAGCATTTAAAGTAGGAGATACAAAAGAGAATGGGGGGGGGGAGAACAACAGCAAAGTGGTGCTTTGGGGTAGAACCATCTGACAGTAATGCCCAATAAATGACTCCAGTGCGCAGGACGGGGGTGGGGGGTCCTTAGACATCAAAATCTCTCTTGGAAAAGTACGCAGTAGCAGCAGGGGAACAGGAGAAAAGCTGGGATGACCACCTTCCCAATTTTAGTCACATGAAAACCCCATCCCCAGTACAGCAATAAGACAAGGCAGGGGAGATGGAAACAGCTCTGAGAGAAGAGGAGGTCATCGGACGGGACGTTTGTGGGGGGGGTTGCCCCCCAAGGGTTTCCTAGCAGAAGTGGTCGGTGTCCTCATCATCCTTGAGGCCTTTCAGGCGCAGGCGGGCAAAGTCCTCAAACACCATGTCCTCATCTTGCCCGTAGCTTCCGGGGGGGGGGGCGGGGGAGAGAAAGAGGAAGGGGTTTCAGTGCTGAGAGCAGACTGGTCAGTGCTGTTCTCTCCGCCCCACCCAATTTGCTTTTGCTTGCAGAGGCCCAGCCACGGATTGTGGGGCTGATGCTTCCCCCAAAGCAAGAAAGCCCAGCGTTAGAGCAGCTGGGGGGAACTGGGTGCCACAGAGAGCAGAAGCTGCTTTGGGTCAATACTCTTGGACTCAGGCAGGGAGGTAAGATGACACACGCGGTTCTATGCAAGGAGGTTTAGGCCCCCCTGCTCACACGGTCCTGCCTCAGGGGCCAGAGGCTCACGCACCCTGCACGCGGGACAAAGTCAAACATGTATCGGTCTGCAGGTTTGAGTGCCGGCTTAACTGTTTATGCAGATTCAGAATAAAAAAAAATGAATTTGGGAGGGACGAAAGCACGGACCTCTTTCAGTGCTTTGTAACACCCCCTTTGGTTGAAACGTCAACGTCTAAAAGTTTCCTACGTATTTAACAATACTGAAGTCTAGTGACTGTGAAAGCCGCTCCAAAAACTTCATTTCCTGTAACTACTTTTATGTTACTGAAACCTGTGGGAGGATTGGAAATGTGCAGCGCAGGCAAGGAGGATGCACTGGACAAAGATGCCAAGGATATTTCTTTCTGAGCTAGAAGAGTTTGGTAAGGAAGGGTGGGAAAAGAATTCCAAGCAAGAACAGCACGGCTCTTATCGGGCTACAGGGAAAGCTTGGGAGCTGGCGTTTCCGCCCAAGGGCCTGTCACAGCACTCAGTGAAGGGATCAACCTCTGCCCCAACCGTGTTCCAATCTGTGAAAGATGCATTAGCTTCCTAGTGCGTAAAGGTGTGTCAGCTTCTGCTCACTTTGAACTAAACTTCTGCAGACAGGCCGATTTTCTCTATCCCCCGCCCCATCTACAATGCCCAAATACCCAGAGAGGAGGTGCTCCGCTCTGCGCTTCTGTTCTTTACAGCCCCCGGAAGAGACCCCCACCCCCAATGCCTCTTACTTGGTTTCAAACTCAATCAGATTGGCGTAAACCGGCGTGTCTGATTCTGGGACAGCTAGGGAAGAACAAGAGGGAGGGATGAGGCAGTTGCAGGGGAACGACCTGCCCTGGGGGGAAGGGGTTCGGAGCCTTACCGGCTGGGGGCTGTGTAGGAGAAGGCTGCTCAGGCGGCTTTGGGTGCATCAGGACAAAAGGCAGTTCCACAGCAACATCCCTGGCAGGGAGAGAAGCCTTTGGTCACTCATGGAAGGGGGGCCAAGACCAGGCGGCCCCTGCCCAGTACTTACCCTCCCCGGGAGACCACCAACTTCACTTTGACCCTGTAGGAGACCAGGACGCCCAGGACTTCCTTGCTGGTACCCTCCGTCACGCTGCAACGCAAAAGAGGGGAGGGCTGGGTTGGAACCACCCACCACCTCTTACTTGGGAGAAAGCGTTCCTGGCTCTCAAAGGAACAAATCCACAGACCCAGCGTTCACAGGGCCCAGCCTGCATGGGTGCCAAGGGCCATTGTGCCACGGCAGCCAGAGCAGGCGCACCCTCCCTCTGCAAGAGCGCCGGGGACGGGCTCGCTCACATGGTAGAGGAGGCCAGGTTGGTATCCTCGTGCTTCAGTTTGCCGTCAAGCGCCAGGCCCCGCTTTTCCCGATTGTTGCTCAGCAGTGGCGTGAGCGTGTAAACCTTGCAGAAGGTGGAGCTGGGGGCCACCTGGTCCCTGGCAGGAGAGGAAAAAAGACAGAAGACAGGTCAGAAACGCTGTGCTCCGCATTTTCTCAATGGGGCCTGGGGGAAAGCAGGCCCGAGTCCCCTTGAGGTTTCAAGGATACGATTTTAACAAAAAACGGAGTCCCCGCACTGGACTCTGAAAACGAGTATTTGTTTGGCTGGGAGGGCGGGGGGTGGGAATACTCACTCCTGCTCAATCTGAGCCACGGGACACTTGTACTGAGCGGTGCTGAAGAGGCAGATGTCTGCGTACTGCCGCACTGCCAGAAAGGAAGGCAGGTCAGTTGGGGGGGTGTCCCCCTCCCCCTCTTAACCCAGAAAGGGGCTCAGGCTTGCCTCTCCCCTGCCCCACCGGTCCTCAGGGGATGTGGCACATGGCCCTGCGGGACGGGGGCGCAGCTGCCCAAGCGGGAACAGGCTTGGAGCCTCAGCCTGCCTGAGCCCCCCAGGTGCTCTGCTCTGGCTCCGTGGAAGAGGATCACCTGCTCTGAGCTCCCCCCACCCGCGAGTCAGGCTTCCAGCCAGAGGGGCCCCTTCCTACCGGCCACCTTCACTTTCTTGACACTTTTACTGGAGTTGTTGGTCACGTGAACATTGACGCTGATTGGCTCACCGTGGTAGTAGAGCTAGTGGGGAAAGAAAACAGGCACATGTGTGGGCCCCCCACTCTTGCATGCCAGATCCCCGCAGTCCCTTCCCCAGCCGGGACGACCAGCTCACGGGCCGGGAGGGATTGCTCGGGTACAAGCGTGGCTTTGCTGTTGGGAGGAAAAGGGTTTCTCGGAAGCTCACAGCCTCAGTTTCTGACCGGGCTCATAGAAGTTTAAACACCACCATCTGCAGAGGTGCTCCTGGACAAATGGTGACAAGCAAACAAATCAATAAATGCAGCTCCCAGAGTGTTTATGCTCCTGAACACCGGTCGATATTTAAAAAAAGAGTTTATAGATTGTAGCAGCTGATAACTGACGAATCCACAAGGCTTGGCTTTTCAGTTTCCTATCCAATCTCCTCTTGTCATTCTACCTCACTTACCCCTCAACTTGTAAATGTTTTACATTTCCAAGTTTATCCTGCGTAAGTATACAACTACCTGTATATCTTATGAGGTTTTTTTGGGGAAGGTACTTTTCTTACTATACATGGTTTTGTGTGGATTTTTCCTTCACGTTAGCTTTTCTGTAAACTCTTTTCCTGATACGCTCGTTTCTAAAAGCGGTTCTGAATACAGACGTATTTCTTCGCAGTTCCCAAGTTACAAGCTACGTTGCAAAACTTGGGAAAGCCGCGTTGTTTCCTGTTCAGCTTCCTGAAGGGTAAATCGTTACGTTTTCAGTAAACCGCAGACCAGGGCATAGCGAGCGTCCCCTCTTACCTCCTTGTCGAGGGAAGCTTCCAGGTGTAAAGAGCGGTCGGACATCAGGAAGTGGCGGGTGGTCTCAGCCGTGGGCTGCGGACCAGGCTTCTCAGGGGCGTACTGGACTTTCCGGATAACCAGGCGGACCGAGTTCCTGGGGCGGCGGCGGTGGTGGTCAACAGAAGCAGGGGAAGGGAGCAAGCCCTGCTGCCCGGCGCCGAACTTCCTGTCTCCATGCTCAGCGCCTGGAACGCCCCTCCCAGCACGCATGGGGCACTCACTCTGCCATCCCTGCTGAACGCAGCTTGGCTGGGGGACGGCTTTCCATAAGCCCGCGCAGGCGGGCAGGGAGACCCCAGGAGACTCGGAGATGAGCAACAGAAAGGCGCACGCTGGGGAGGGCCTCAGGGATGGCAGCGCTTTTAAAACCACCTGAGCCCTCCCTGCTGGCTCTCACGGGCTGGGCTGCTCACCCACCTTTTGTGAATCTTCTCGTCCAGGTTTTTGGCACAGAATGCCCGAATCTCAAAGTCCACTCCACAAGCCTGAAAGGGAAAGGGCCGTTCTAAGGGCTGCCCGCCTGGGGCTCCCAATCCTACCACTTCAGCACCCTTCCTGCCACCAGAATCTGCCCTCCTCTGGTCCCCACCAGAGACGTACCTTCCCTGTGTCCTCGGGCCCTGGCTGCAGCGTCACTGAACACGGCAGGTTCTGGGGGATCTGCGGAAGAGATGGAAGCGTGTGCTGGGGGGGCTGGTCTTGGCAGGAGGGACTTTCCCAGCCCGGCTACTGCTCTGCCTGGGACAAAGGGCGGGCCCGCTTTGGGGGTGGAAGGGAAAGGGGCTGTGGGGAATGGCTGGCTTACCAGGAAGCTGAAGGGGTGGGCATTGGCACCCAGCTTGCGCAGCAGTCGCTCCTGCAGGCGAGTGAGTGGCTCAGGGGTGCTCTCGGCAGGGGGGAAGGCCTGCCAAGAGGCCAAGAAGAGATCTTTGCGGAAGGAGAGGCCCAGGACATCCAGGTCCTCACGGCCATAGCGGAAGGCGCAGGTCAGAGTCACGAACACTGGACAGGGTGGAGGCTGTGTTAGAGGTGCCCCCTTCCAGCCCCCCAATACTTTGAGAGAAAGAAAAGGGAAGCCAGAAAGGCCAGTCCTGCTTCCTGTAGGCCAAAATATTTTGAGAGCTGTTTCTGGGGTCCCGCACCTTCCCAATGCTCAGTCCGAAGCACAGAGTTATGCTGCATGTAGGGACCGCCTACCTAAACCCTGAGCTTAAAATGGCATCCCGTGACCATTTCTTGTTTGCAATAAATGTCACTTTAGGCTGAAGCCCCCTCCCCACCCTGGTTTTTATTTTTCAAATTAATTCTGTCTCATTTCCATCCTAGATGAGACGGCGGTCAATTTCTTAAAACCCACAACGTGCCAAGGCTGCTTCCTGCAAAGAGCAAAACAGCTGCCCGTTTCTGTCTCTGCGTTTCACATCCTTGAAGTTTTTGGCTTTCGAGGGGTCTGTTCTCTGAATGAAGGAAAGCAGCAGACACCAGCTGAAATAAACCTGCCTTTATGCTCTTTGCCTGCTTGATAAAAACGATATTTTGTTTTGTCAGGATTTCTCCAGCAGACTCCCCAAAATCTCACTTTCCTCTCCTCTCGCCTCTCCCATGCAAAACACAGCCTCCATCCCAAGGAAGGCTTTGCCAAGATCCCCTCTTCTTGTTTAACGTTGTACGCACCTTTCCGATCCTTGAGATATTCCGGGTCGACGAGAACGACACCATCTGACGTGGAGAAAGGAGAAAACAGGAGGTGGGTGGGTGACAAGAGATAGAGAGCCCCCAACCTAGATCCAAGCTCTTAGCTCCAACATTTCTCACATCCAGTTCTGGTTGTGGGAGGAGTCCTCCCAGTTGACCTGCTCTGCCCCGCTTGGAAGATTGAGAAGGCAGTAGCTGACTCGATCTCTCGCAACAAGAGTCCCACGGCAAGGAATTGAATTAGTTCACCCAGAAATAGCAGCCAAGCCTGCCTGATAGTTTCATTACAAAGGTCTCGGGGGCCGAACCCTTAAAAGAAGTTCTGCGTCACCCAGAAGCCTGCTTCCAAGGACCTGGCAGGCATCGGGGCTGACGTGCTCGCATCACTGCACCAACGCAGCACCTTCCTTCAGGCAGAACAGAACAACCCTGCAGCCTGGTCTATGCCCCGCTGCCCTCACGTTTTTGTGAAGAAACACCCTGGAGGGACCGGCCTTTCTTATGCTGCTTGCTCGCTGGATTTGCTGGGGGGCCTGGGGGGGGGGAGATGACCTTTGCTTCAGCCCTGCACTCACCAACGGGGTCAACTCTGTCCAGGTGGTCCACAAAGTCACGCTTTCCCAGGTAAACGGTGAGCTGGCGGAGAAAAAGGAAGGGGCGTGAACTCCTCTTGACAAAATTCAAAGGGCAGAACCCAGCCCCTCCCCCCTCCCCTGCAGGTTTAGTGCTACCTTTCCTCCAACTCAAGCCCCCATCTCCAGCCCTGAAACCCTTTCAAGCGCCCCCCCCAACAGCTTCATGGCCACAGCTTTGTGGGGCCAGCAGCCAGTTTCCAGCACAACCTGGCTGCCCAGCTGCTTCCGATACACCTTGTGACCGGCAGACAACTTGCATCGGATCTGGTCCAGCTCCAGGGGTTCCATCCAGCCCCTCTCCCTCCTGTAATCAGGGCAGCCCCTCCCCAGCACGCCCTGCTGCCTGATGTTTGCCTGCACCTGTTCCACTGCAGCCCCCCTGGAGCCTTGTTACTCGGCATCTCCGGGGACAGCGACAACCAATCTGGCAGAAGAGCATCACCAGGGACGTGCGGGGCATCAACAAACCTCCGGCCCCGCCACCGCCCTTGCCCAGCAGCCTCAGTTCCCCAGTAACCAGCCTCCTCCCTGTGGAGGGCCACCCCACCCCTCCCGCCTCCCTTCTCTTCGCTGCCGTCACGGTCGCACTCACAGTCCAGAAGCCGCAGCTCAGCCTGCTGATGAGAGAGGCCCGGCTGTCAGATTGGCTGAAGCACCAGTCCCAGCCTTTCTTTTCCCCAGCACCCCACCGCTTAGTCTTGCGGCTGCCTGCCCCTCCCAGGAGAGATGGCCCAACACCCTGAAGACTGGGCACCTGCGCTAAAACTGCTCATCCTGGACTGGGGAGGGCAGCCCCCTTTCTTCCTGAGGGACGGGGGGGGGCTGTCTCACGCAAGTGACAAGCACCAGGCGGGGGAGAGTGCAAAGCACAGCTACCAGCTCTTGGCAAGCAGGTTCTGCTGTGAGAGGAAGGAAGCCGGGCGTGGGAGGAAGGAGGACCGGAAACCTGCCATCGCAATGGGGCGGGAGAGCCCCACCAATGGCTTTCTGACAGGCACCTCCAGCTCAGAGACCAGGGGTTCGTGAGACGCGTGGGGCCACCCAGAACGCTGGGCACGCTGAGAATTCAGGGAGCAAGGAATGATCCCTCTTGAAAGCGAACGCCACTGCGGGAGCAGCCGGGAGCGACCCGTCCACCTCCTCCCGCCCGGCTCTCCTTGGTGACAGAAAGGCCTGCAGGCGCAGCTGCAAAGGAGCTTATCCTTCGGGCTGCTACTCCGAGATCCTGGATTGCTGCTCCTTCCTCCAAACCCAGAGAAGCAGAAACAAGCCGCAGCAAAACACTTACTTTGCAGTTCGGGCTGGACTTTTTGAAAACTCTGTTGCAGAAAATAGGAACGAAAAAGAGGATGTAGTTACACAGAGCTCCCTTCCCTCTCCCCGCAAGAGCCAGAGTCCCCCGTATCACTCCCGGGACCGGGCGCCCC